TTAAGAAAATAATCGTAAGTTAAAATTACAAACATTGTCCATTTTTGTTTCATTTTTTCCTCTGGTGAAAATATAAAATGTCATTTTTATCAAATTGTTAAATTTATAAATCGACCATTAGTCCATGTTTATTGCTCTTTTTTTTGTTCTAAAAATTACAAATCAATCATTATGGATGGATTTTGATATTTCTGATCTAGAAATCTGTTATTTCACAGTAAGCTATCTCATTTCACATTTACACAATCTTTTTTTGTAATTTAAAACAGAATTTACACAGTTTATTGTCAAATAATCACTTCCTGGAATGAATTTTATTTAAAAGTTCTTGTGATTTTTCTTATACGTTATAGAAACATCTTTCTTCTTTTAGATTTATTTCAGTGTTTAAGTCAACTAGTAAGAAGTGTTTCAGTGTGACAATAGATTACTAATTTTGTAATTTTTCGTCATTTCTTACTTTGGAATTACTCGATGCCACCAAAAATCGGTTTTGGAATGATCACCATAATTTTTGGTAACTTCATCTAAATTTTCAGAATATTAATATTTAGTGACTTACCATGTGGCAATAAAAATAATCATCTTTTGATTTATAATTATTTTTAAAAATCTTGGAGTGCCATCTAGTGTTTAAAAAAAAATCATGCATTGTCTTATCACAAAAGCATTTTTTGTTGTAATCCGCTAGCAAAAATGCAGTTTTTTGTTGAAAATTCACAGCAGTAAAAACAACAATTTTTGTATTAGTTTTGGTTGTAATAACATTTTTTCGGAATTTTCTATGAGTTCAAACAGCTTATCAGTGACTTTCCAGTTTTTGGCAATATCACAAAAGTTTCCTAAAATTTTTAGGTTTGGAAAGTAAGCTAATGTCATTGTGAAAAAGCGCAATTTTCCTTATGTTGTTCTGGTATTGTTATTTTTTTATTTTAATTTTTCATTAGAACTACCAACATTTTTTAAGTTCCACTCCCTTGATGAACTTAGAGGCAAAAATTCAGCAGTTCATGAATAAAATCACCGAGTCAAAAAATTTTTACATTTCTGTGAATGGCCAACATAAACTCGTAACAATTTTGAAATTCTGCAATATATCTCCTAAATTCATCTACCAATAATATCACTGAATATTTTCACGAATTTTTCCCAAACTGAAAAAAGCATCAATTTTTGCAATTGCACGAGCAATAAACTTTCTTTTTGAATTTTGTAACTTGATTAAAAAAATTTCGTCAAACTGTATTGCTAAAACACTTCCGAAAGAACAGTGTTAAAAATTTGGGATTGGTCAGTCACTAGTTTTTTTTTAAAAAGACGTCTTTGACTAAACACTTGTTAAAAATTATCAAAATAAATTTTCTGTGTAATGAACCGTCTTTCGAAATATTTTATTTTATTGTCAGTTTACAGATCTATGACTAGCCAATAATAATTTTTCTGACATCTTTTTTTACCCACCTAAATTATCCTAAATAGTAAAACTCGTAATTGTCAAAAAGTCTATTTTTATTTAATTATTACTTTGCGGTCTTTATGTCACAAAAAGTTAAATATTTTTTGTTAACTTTAAAATGTGGTTTTTGTCATGGTCTGAAAATGAACTTTTGAAATAAATTTTCAAACCAAATTTTTCAATTTAGTGTAAATTGAATTTCAGTTATTTAACTATCACCATTGTCCTCACTTGATTTTTTTGAGAAAAAAACGATAAATTGTTATTTTTTTTGTACGTTCAATTTTTTTTCCTTAAACCGAGACAGTTATCCAAAAATTCGGGAAATATTGTTGGAATGTTCCTGTTTTTTCCGAAACAAAATACCATTAATAAGGGTTTTGAACAATTCTCTCATCAATAAATATGGCACTAAAACCCTCTTGATTTTTATCAAAAAACATTTGGACAAAAAAGTATTTCTACTGTTTTTCTGATTTTGCTTTAATCGAATTTCATTCAATTTGCTTATCATAATTTTGGATTAATTTTTAAGACTTGTAATTTCTTTCAAAATGTTCTACAGGTGTTCCAGAATTCGGGTCATTTAAGCTTCGTTACTAAAGTGATTCCAAGAGTGAATTTTAATAATTTAAAATTGGTCCGTTCACAAGCCTTTTGTTTGTTCTATTTGTAAAAACTAAAATTGTATTGCTTAACTGTCGTTAATTTGTAACGCTTTTGAGACTATTTCAGTGTTAAACTAATGAAAGGCACAGTTAATGCACGAATTTGGGAACACACTGTATACATAATTTCCCTCAATCAAAATAAAGTGAGAGATTTAATGTTTAGGGCCGAATATTTTTTTTGAAATTTGATAAGCAGCGTGCACCTCCAGATTTCGATTTCAGGAGCTGAAATTTATATGAAAAAATGCTCTAGTTTTTAAGTGATTTGATTGCGAAGAAAATTTCTCAGGTCTTAAGAAATTCCGCCAAAATGTAAAAATTTGGTGGCAAGAATGGCAAAACAGCTCTCAAAAATCACAACAAAAATTGTTATCAAACTACTCACAACTAAATCAGGTTATTTTAGTTTTGTTAACTGTTTTTTGGCTTTTTTAAGTTAAGTGTCATAAAAATTGTAACCTGTCTGTGTTTTGTAAGTTTCCTGTTTAATTTTGAGCAGTTTGAAGGTAAAAATAATGATTTTATTACACGAAGAGGTGTACAACTTGGCTTTTGAAAAATTTTAGTTAACTTTTTAGAATCAACCAAGTTTCAAACCTCCTTCATCATTATTTTTTTGTTTTTTTTTCTAAATATTTATCTTTTTCATTGCACCTTTTTCAAAGTTGGCCCTGTTTCTTAGTTATAGCACAAAGTGTCAAAATTACACAGACGCAGTTATAATTTTTTACATCTGTGTAAAACTTGATTACTAGATAGCACAAATATGGCTAGAAACTAGCTAAAACGTGTTAGTACAAAACTGGATTTTGCTATTAACAATCTACACAACGTCTAAATGTAGCTTTTGAGAAATTTCAAACAGATTTGTGGTTTCATGAAGCAACGACGAAAATATCGAATTGTAGAGTGAATTTAAATTTTTTCACCAGGTATTTTATATAAATTATTTCGATTTTTAGTTTAATTTGAGAAACAAAAACACATTTAAATTCACCCAAATTTACACACAACTGAGATCATAACATAAAACTAACAACAAAAAATTAATTTACTTCAATGAAACCACAATTAATATTTACAAAATATGCCTAAATATACAAAAACTATTCTACATTTCATTTTTCTGTGACTCAAATTTAATTAAAGTGTGACTTTGTTAATTTGGTTAAATTCTGAATGGCCTAAGAATGCAGAATAGTTTTATTTCAGTGGTCCTTTTCCTGAACTAAACATTTACACAAATTGAAGGTTTCTACATATTTTGAAAATTATTTACAACTAGGCAAATTTAGATTAAAAAGTGGTACATTAAAATTTAAATAAAAATATAAAATCAATAAATAACTTTTTTCAAAAAAACTGTTCTGAAAAACACTATCCAAGAGCATGACAGATTTATTTTTGGTAAATTTTTTAAAACAATTGTCAGTTTTTAGAATTATTTTCAAGACTTCGTCAAAAATTTTTACTTTACAAAATCCGTATCTGTTGCAATTATGTTAAATTGATTCATCTGGTTGAAGCCTGATTAAAGTGACCAAAAACGAACCAAAAATTGTAATCGGGCTTCCAATTAACACTATACCACAGTGAATAATAATTAGGCAGTGAATTTTGTGCGTTATTTAGGCACATTAAACTGTACGATGCAAAGGTGTAATTTTCGAAAACCTGGCTAAGGTACAATGTTATCCAGAAACCATGTCCTCCTGTATGCAATGCGTGAAAAAAATAAAAAAAATCCCCCAGAAATAAACCGTTACTAAACCAAAAAAATTTCGATGACTAAAATTAAAGGCACTGCATTGTGCGTCTTTTACATTTTTATTACCTTGATTTCGTAACTTCCACTTAAAACCAAGTTTGTGCTATAAATTGTGCGCTTGATTTTTATTCCAGAAGATCCAGAATTTGTGCGTGATACTTTGACATACGTACGTTAATTTTCCATTTTTGACATGCTATTATGATTAAATAAAGCGTAATTGTGGTTTAATTTTGTAATTTACATTAATCCGATATGCAACAGCCCCCCAAATTATTGGTAAATATATATTCTACAAGGCAAGTCCTATAAAAATAGTGTATAATTTACGTGTGCGAAATTGTGCGTTAAATTATCCAATTTTAGAATATGGATCGTGATGTAAAAAAAATTCACCAAAAAAGAGTGTTGAAAAAATGGCATTTTGACATTAATTTTTTTTTAGAATTCAAAATGTGCAACGTTGCTTGTTTGACTTTAAAATTTCTCGTGTTTTCCATTTTTTCATCACCCTGTATGTGAGACCCGAATTTCTGAAAAACAACTGAAATACAGTGCCGCTTTGTGCTTTCTTTGTTTAACGATTTAGTTTCTCTCTCAAACATTTGACTATAATCGTTTCCACATTAATGTGCATCGAAAGAGATCATTTTAAGGTGGCAACAATGCGAAAATCCCAACCTCAATCTGCCTCAAAAATTATTTTTTAAAATAAGGTAACAAAAAATTATTAAAATTAACAACGTAATTAACATAAGGTGGAAAACTTAAAAAAATTTATCATTACTGATGTGATTAAATTTGTGCTAAATGACATTAATGACTTTGTGTGTGAATCGTCCTTTAAATTAAAGACGCATTTAGACTTCCACAACCTGCTTGATGCACATTAATATGAAAAAGAGTATAGGTTATCTTCAAGTTTTTGTTAATAAAGCGGCAAATTTGAATTTGAAAGGAAAAAGACACACTTTTTCACTTAAAAATTACTCTGGCCTCAAGTAAATAAACTATTTTCTACTTACAGACGAATTTGTGCATTGAACTTCAATTTTGTGCTTTTAGAATATAGTACTTCAAAACACCGTCAAATTTACTGGACAAGTCATTTTTCTATTTCAAAAATTTTCGATATTGCTTATTGTCTCCATTATCCAGTAAATACAATTTTTGCAGGTACTCAAGTGTTTGTTAAATGAAAGTTGAGAGTGGTAATGGCCCGAAAAAGAACAGTTAATTCAACTACTTCAACCGTGATTGAGTTTATTTCATTTCAGCATCGTCTCGGATCAATACAAATTAATTTCAGGATGTGAAAACAGACACAGATTTTGTAGCCATTTTCATATCAATCTGCATCAAGTAGTCGTTGAAACGGTTATTTTAAGTTGGCAATCATGCGAAAATTCACACAATCCTAACCTCAATCCAGTTTTGTGAAAAAATAATTAAACCTAACGATCGATGTGATTAAATTAAATTTGTGTGAATCGACCTTTAAATTAAAGATGCATTTACAATTCTATAACCTACTTGATGCACATTAATAGCGAGCGATCATTTTTGAATCCGAAAACGTATGTCTGTGAAACGTCACATAAAATGACAAGTCGAAAGGTAATGATGATTTTAATAACTAAATTTATAATTTACCTTCAAAAACGACCATTAACTGTTTTATTATTATATGCCAGGGACTAAGTCAGCCATTTTGCCGTTTTATCTTTCGACTTGTCATTTTATTTGACGTTTCAGATTCAAAGATGACTCGATTATGAAAAAGAGTATATTTGAGGTGTTTGGGGACGTAATAAAATAAAAAAAAGTGGTGGCGGAAGTGGAATATATTTTGTACAAGGAAAAATGTGAAACAGAAAGAAAACTGTATTTTTTGGCTCTGCCATGAGCTCGAATAGTGAATACTGTTTCGTATCAACAAGAAATTACTCCCTAGGATTTAGGGCCATAAATTTGGTTAGGTTGGTTTCTGGTGTCAAAATTTAGGGGTAACCAACACTGAAAATTCTAGTTAGAAACAACATGAAAAACGTAATTTCCCTAAAAGTTCAAATCCTCGGTGGTAATTTCTTGTAAATTTAGTGAAACTATAAATAAAATGTACACCTAAATCAGTCAAAAAAAACTACATTGGATTTGCAGCTTGCACTAAACATACTTTAAGGTCCCGTGCAGAGTAGGAAATATCGACAATCGAATCGACCATTTCTTGCACCGCAGTGACATTAGGGAATTGTAAAGCTGCTTGTTTGGTCTTATTTACACTAGTGGCTAGCGCATCCGCCAAAGAATTGGCACAATTCAAGGCTCGTTCTTTAATTTCCTTGCAGGAGACATTCCTATGAACCGTATCACCAATATGAACCAATTTGTGAGCACTTAAAACGACGAATTTCCCGTGAGCGAGAAACACCTTCGGGGGTTGATTATGTTCAACAGTTTGCAAAAACGCATCAATGGCTTGTGTTAAATTTCTATGGTGTGTTACTAATTGGGTTGCAAAGAAACTCAAAAGTTGTTTATCGTCCGAATCCAGGCCTGTTTTGTGCTCACTATCGAAAGCGACATCGTCTGCGTGTTTAACCAAATGGTCGTAAGTCTTTTTGAGCTCTTTGGGGAGGGCTTCTCGGATCTCGGCGTGCTTCTTCGCTACGGCCTCCTTCGAGTCGAGACTGACGTAGTCGTAGTCCTCGAGCCACTCGTTGTTGTTGTTGACTTGGGGCTCGCGTTTGAAGAGGAGCAAGCCGTTGCCTTGGATGAAGGAGGCGATTTGGCGGATGTCTTCGGTGAGGGCTCGCGAGCACGCCACTAACTGCTCGAGTTCGTCGGGTTTTCGGGTTTTTTCATCGTCGTCGAAGCGTGATAACAAATCAAGAGACCATCTTTGTTCATTTAACTTTTCCGTTGCTTCGCATACTAAAGAATCGGATTTTTTTAAGGCTACTACTAGAGGGGCTAATTTACTCGCGAGGTTCTTATCGGAGGCTCTCGTGGCATTCCCTAGGGTGCCTTCCCCGAACTCCGCTAGGTCATGCAACGAAGTCCTCAATCTAGTCACTGCGAGTTTTATTTCCATCAAGTTGCTCTCGAGTTTTTCCCGCGTCCGCCATTGGGGCCCCACAAACCCCAACAATTTGGAAATGGAACTCGTGGTGTCAGACTGTAGCCTCTCTAAGTTTTCCAAAGCCGAATTTAGCTCCAAAGGGAGTTCTTTCAAATTTTGGGATGTGAGGATGTCGTGAGGATGAGGGAACAGTTGGGGTTTATTGAGGGGTCTTGGCACGTCGTAATCGGGCATGTTGACCAAACTGCTCCGATTTGAGGAACTGAGGGAGTCCGCTGTGAGGGAACTGGCCGAGCTTGAGGGACTAATGGGGCTGGGTTGGCTGAGGATTGAGCGAGGGATGTCGTAGGCTTCGCCGACGTCGCGATTTATGGGAGAAACGCAGGAAGGTGCAGGAGAGCATCGCGTGCAAGTCACGGGAATAGCGCGAGGGGGCACGTCGTAGCAGTCGTTCACGTGGGGGCTGAAACCGGGGCTGGGGGAGCAGCGAGATGGGGGCATGTCGTATAAGTACACGTCGTTGTATTTCTTAGGAGTCACCACCTGCAACAAAAAATTCTGTGTTTGTCTAAAAAATGCTTATATTAGTACACGGGGTTGAGCGGCATAGCCGCGAGCCTCCAGTTATTTCCACAAAACATTTATCTATCTAAATTTATCTAAATTTAGACCAAAAAGAATGAAATATTCAGTATTTTTAAACAAATTGGTAAATAATTCAGTATTTTTTACTAAAATAAACAATTTTCTTCGCTAATATACTATATGGAATCTAAACTTTACTTTTCAGAAAAATCGAATTTATGTAAAAGCATAGTTTGTCGTTCTTTTGGTCTTTGAGTCGTCCAAAATTTATTTTTTTTGAAATAGTGCGTAAAGTAGTACCTTACCGGCCTCATACGTCACATTGTTCGTAATATTGACTGACAAAAGTTGCGTAGCCTTCATTTTTTTCTTTTCATTGAAATTTATTCAATTTTTATTTTTCTCCTTTTATTTTTTGCTTTTCTAATATTTTATTTATTCATTTTTGTAAAAAAAACTGCGTAATTAAACAATTTTTTATCAAAATTTAGACCTAAAAGGTTGAATAATTCAGTATTTTTATTAGAATTAACTGTTTTATCCTAATAGTATACAAAATAAAAAACTTGAACCTAACTTTAAATTTATAAAAAACAGTTCATTAAAAAGCACATATTCTCTGTTGGTTTTTGAGTTTTGCAAAATTATTTTTTCTGAAATAGTCCGTAAAGTAGTACTTTACATCAAATTATTCGTAAAGTTGACTAACAAAAGAGTCTTCACTATGTAGTTGAAGAGATAGCTTTCATTTTTTTTTCTTTTTTTTGGAATTTATTCAATTTTCTTTTTCTCCTTTTATTTTTCCTTGTCTATTAATTATTTACAAAACAATGAAACAGCATTTTTATCAAAATTAATTGTTTTATCGTTAAAATTACACAAAATATAGAATCCTACTTAATTCTGAAAAATAAAATTCATTACTTTCATATTTCTTTTTTTGGGTTTTGAGTTTTGCAAGATTTATTCCTTTTAAAATACATGAAATGAAGTCTTCGTAAAGTTGACAAAATAATCTTATTATTGTGTAATGTGATTGCACAATTTTTACTTTTTATTTTTCCTTTTAAGTTTATTCTATTTTTCTTTTTCTCCTTTTATTTTACCCTCTTCTGCTATTTTATTTATT